GTGGGGAGGGCGGGGGGGTTGTGGAGCACCCACGGGGCACATCTCGAAGAACAATCGTTACTTCACAGGGTGACTAACTTTTTCTTCTTCGAGTGGCCCCGTGGAAATAAAAGTAAAATATTTAAAATGTTTAAAAATATATTATAATTTATTAATTTAGCCCATTAAATTAATTGTGACTTTTGTCCATATTTTTCCAATCTAGAATAAATAACCTTACTTGCTATAAAAGAGAGAATTTCCCAGGTAATTATGCACTGCAGAGGAACAGAGGACCAGACCTGGCACTAAATGTCAGAAAAATCTCTCAGACTTTAATCCAGGGGTTGGCAACATATGGCTCATGTGCCACAAGTAGCACACAAGATGATTTCATTGGCACACAGAACGAACAGGCTCCCCCTCACTCCCCTCCATCTGCAATGGGGAACTTGTGCTGGCAATCCAACATCACCCCCTACTCTCCCCCGCAAGAGTGGAGCCAATGTCAGCTTCCTGCGAAGGAAAGAGGGAAGCCCCAGGGCTCCATGCTGGGTCCAGCTTGTGGAAGTGCACACTGCTCCTCCCCTCCCCACAGCAACGCAGACACTGCCTTATCCAGCCTACCTTCCCCTGTGCTCTGGGCAGGTGGAACACGGGAGCTGCACAGCCTCCCCCTGCATGGGAGGCCAGGGCAGGCGACCAAGCAGGGTATGCAGTGGAGAGAGCTCCTCCCAGGAGAGTGATGTGGCCCAGGGCAAGAGGGTACACTGGGGCATGCCACTTCTGAAAGGTTGCTGACCCTGCTTTAATATTTCCATAAGTAGACCAAAACAGTATGGCTACGTCTACACTGCAGGCTTCTTGAGCAAGAATTGTTTTACGCAGGAGTTCTTGTGCAAAAGGTCTTCCACAAGAGCGCATCCACACTGCCATGTGCTTCTGTGGAAGAGATGTGCTTTTGCTCAAGAGCATCCATGGCAGTGTGGATGCTCTCTTGCACAAGAAAGCTCTGATAGCCATTTTAGCCATAGGGCTCTCTTGAGCAAGAAACCCCTGCTGCCTGTCTACACTGCCTTCTTGTGGAAGAGCTCTTGCACAAGAGGGCTTATTCCTTGTGGGGAAGAGGAATAACTCCTTTCGACTATGCATCAGCACCTCCTTGACTCGCTGAGAACATGATTGTTCGAAGTCGGTGAACCAGCAAGCATCCATGTGGTGAGGTGTAGAACTTCGGGTCTCGGGTGTCTGAGGGCTCCATTGTCCTGGGTCAACAGATTCGGAAGAGGAGGCAGAGCAGACTGCGCTCTCACTGACATCTGGTGGAGCACTGAGAACCAGGGCTGACGAGCCCATGACGGTGCTAGGAGGATCACCCGGGCTTTGTCCATGTTGATCTTTTCCAGAACCCTGGGAATTAACACTACCGGGGGAAAGGCGTATAGTAGCGATGTGCCCCAGTGGAGAAGAAAGGCATCTCCCAGGGAGTGGCGTCCTATTCCGGCTAGGAGGATCACCCGGGCTTTGTCCATGTTGATCTTTTCCAGAACCCTGGGAATTAACACTACCGGGGGAAAGGCGTATAGTAGCGATGTGCCCCAGTGGAGAAGAAAGGCATCTCCCAGGGAGTGGCGTCCTATTCCGGCTCTCGAGCAATAAGCGGGACATTTCGAATTGAGTTCTGTCGCGAACAAATCTATTGTTGGAAATCCCCATCGATCGAAGACACGAGTCAGTACGTCCGTGCGTACCTCCCATTCGTGGTCGTGAGGAAAACGTCTGCTGAGAGAGTCTGCTATTAAATTGTCGATGCCTGGAAGGTAGGATGCTGTGAGAACGGTGTTGTTGGCGATACACCAATTCCATAGACGAGTGCTCTCTGCGCAAAGAGAACGGGATCGGGCACCCCCTTGTTTGTTGATATAAAACATAGT